CGTCCGGACAGAATATTCTATATAAGGACTTATTTGACGCCTTTTTTGCAACTTCAAGGACCAAACTGACCCTTATCCCAGTTGACAACTAATAAGTTACTGTGTATATACATTGGATGATTTTCTTGTAGATAGTCGGAGAATCTTACAATATCAATTGTCATAGTGACACAGACAGTTCTTAATACCGATGGTTGGGGACCTAGTGTTCAGAGCAGGTATTTATTGAAGCAGAAGAGAACAAGCAAATCCCTTGAGAAAAAAAAAATAATGGAGAGAGAGAAAAGAAAGATCATTCGATTTATTTATTTACTCCCTCCTTATCACGTATATATTCCCACTTCCAAAGTGGCTGAGATTAAGAATAGTGAAAGAGGATATGAATTATTGAAGGTAAGATGGGAAGATAGTGAAATAATGTGATGAAATGAAAGATAAATCAAAAAAAAGTTGATGTAATAGTGTATTAGTTTTTAAATTATTGAGGGTGTGATGGGAAGATTTAGAAATGAGAAGATATAAATGTTAAATACAAAAAAGAAAAGTGGGAAGATATGAATATTACGGAGGGAAATATATGATTATTTAACGCACAAAGAAATTCGATCGATGCGGAAAAGCCGCCATGCCAACCCTCGAAGAGAAGGATGTCGGGACAAATGGGATGAGGTCCACTTACCAGAATACCAGAATATGGTGGGTAGGAAGTGGAAGAGAGACACAGTGTTGGGCCCTAGTGTAAAGGAAACCGGGATGATTGGAGAGCGTTTGGAGAGGTAGTAACCCGAGATAGGAGTAAAAAAGTTTGAAAATTCTAAAATAGGACCGCCATGTTTTTATTCACAAAATAGGACTAATTACTGTCATGTTTTGGCAGTACCAACCTTCATGGCAATATTTTTCAAACTTTGACAATAATTACTCTTATTTTAGTATAAACATGACAGTTCTATTTTAGAATTTTCAAACTTTTTTACTCTTATTCGGGAACTTTTCCTATAGGAAATGCTTTTAGGGTAGAGTAATAAATAATCATTAAGATTTGCATTTTCACAAAAACCACAAATTATTACATAGTCTGGATCTCCAAACTGATCAACAACGTTCCAAAAGTCCACACAGTCCGAGGCACCTAACCTCCGCAAGCATCCAACAGGAGCAAGACATATTGTGTAAAAAAAAATAAACCACAGCGTGGGTTGAAGAAAACGAGAGCATGGAGATCCTAAAATAGTTGTCCAGAAATCTACTTGTTAATAGAGGTTGGATTTCCAAAAAGTTAGCCCAGCCCCAGAATGACTAATTGTGAATTAATCACGTTTTCTTTGCCGATTTCAGTTTTGGTTTGTTTTAATTTCATTTAGATTATTCAGAACAGAATTTCAAATCATATTGATGTGGTAAGTGTTTTATACACCATGAAGGAGTGAAGGACTGAAGCTAATCCAAAAGAAGAGAGTTGAAGACTTTAGACTTTGAAGTCCGATCAATTGATCAAATTTGATGTCATCTTATTTTATGTGAGGAAATTTGATATCACGAAAAATAAGAAATACCAAGTACTTAAGGGGAGGGACTCCAAATTATTTAACCATTTAGAACTTATGTCAAGCACCTTATGTTTTTATGTAAAGCAACTTGTGTTTGATGGTCAAAACATTTTAGGATGGTTGACATTTAACAAAAAATATATACTACGTACTATAATTGATACATGAGCACACATAAAAATGGGAAAAAATCATTTGAAATTGAAAAAATTGATACTAATAATCTCAACTATTGTAGTAATCCTAACTATCGATTATTTCAGAATAATCCCAACTCTGGAAAACTTCCGCCAATAATGGTCCGATGTGACCAACTATAAATAAAGTCTTCTAGTTTGTAAAGTTGATGAAAAGAGATATAACAAGTAATCCCTATAAATAACTCCAACTTTAATTTTTAAGCTTAATTTCTATTAAAAATTCATCTGTTATAGCAGATAATATCCGATCATGAATCATTATTGGCGGACGATTTATATAGTTGGGATTATACAAAAATAATCAATAGTTAGGATTATTGTTAGTGGACCGGTGATAGTTGGGTTAATTATTTTCAATTTTTTCTTTGAAATTTATAGTGCCTTTCTAATAAGTATGGAGTATTACGTACTAACTCGGTCCCACCGAACTTTGTCAAATTGATGTTGGGTGTCAAATTAGAATAGTAAAAAATTGAACATAAAAAGAAAATGACAAAAAAATGGACAAATAAAAAAAGAAGAGTTTGGTGGAAGGGAGGTAGTAGTATTTTAATAGGTGTATCTTGCTTCGGAGTACCCCACCCCCCACCCCCACCACTCCTAAGCTTCAAAAGGAAAAATGAAAAGATAAAAATAAAAAAAAATAGCCATCCTTATCGGTGGCAGACCACTTATCTTGTCACCCCCATTTCTTCTACAATGAGACCCACTTACTCATGAGCAAAGAAAATTTTAGTTAATCATTTTGGTCAATCATATTAAACTAAAAAAATACACGAGAAAGATTGCAATCTTGAAAAGCCTCTCTTGCAATGACTTGCATGTCTCCAAAGTCCAAGCCTAGGTCTTTTATTTAGGTATCTTTGTAATCCATTAAAAAAAGTGCTTTTAACTTTTTTTTTAAGAAAAAAACGCTTATTTTACCAAACACTACCAACTTTTACTTTCTCGACTTCCGTGTAGAATCTATTTTTTACTTTTTCTATTACACAAAAAACACTTATTTTACCAAACACTACCAACTTTTATTACTAATCACTTTTTCCCCAAAAGTGCTTTTATTTAAGCACAAGTGATTGCAAACAAAGCCTGAGGCTCTGTTTGCAAGTGATTGTACTTAAATAAAGCACTTTTTGGGAAAGAGTGATTAGTAGTAAAAGTTGGTAGTGTTTGGTAAAATAAGTGATTTATGTGTAATAGAAAAAGTAAAAAGTAGATTCTACACGAAAGCCGAGAAAAGTAAAAGTTAGTAGTGTTTGGTAAAATAAGTGATTTTTCTTAAAAAAAAAAAGCCACAATCACTTAAATTAAGTGATTGCAAACAAGCCCTTAAATGCTTATATTATGCTCCGTAGGTAGTAATCCCACCTTTTTATTTACTCGTACCTCTTATAATTTGTAGTTTAATACTCTGTCACGTAAATGTTTTTACTTGAACTGTTTTCAGTTCTAAACTAGACCAGACTTAAACAGATCAGATCAGATAAAACTTATATAGACCAGACTAGACTTAAACAGACCAGACCAGATCAGACTTAAACAGATCAACTCAGATCAAATTTAAACAGACCAGATCAGAATTGACTTTCGTAGTTATAAAATACACAGAGACCAGACGTTTACTAAATAGAACAGACCAGAACTGAACAGAGCAGTTCAGACCAGATTTAACCATACCAGATCATACAAAATTTAAACAGACCAGGCTAGACCAACAAGTTACTCCCTCCGTTCCTAAATAAACTTCCAACTTTCCTTTTTCGTCCGTCTCATTTAAAACTTCCATTTTCCTTTTTTTGACAAAGAATTTGTGATTCACAACAATTCTTACACATTTCTCTCTTCTCTGCACAACTCTCCACCACACAATACTTATTATCTTAAACTGTGTGTCAAACCTATTTGGAAGATAAATTAGCAGGGCCGTCTAATGAATTTGGAGGCCCCGGTTCAAAATGTAAAAGCGGGGCCCCAAGTTAATATAAAAAATTATTAAAAAATCTCAATCGAAATATTTATACTCAAATCAATGGAATACTCATTAAAAGAGAACTAAAACAGTAAAATGACTAACGAAAAAATGATGTATCTATATTAATATTAATATAATTACTAATAATTTTTTAAAATATGGGGCCCCTTAAATCTGGGGGCCCTGTTCTGGATAACCTATTAAACCCCCTAAAAAACGGCCCTGTAAATTAGGGACGGAGGGAGTACAATTCAAGTAAAAACATCATAACTCAGGAGTATTGGTTTGTAAGCTATTTGAAGTTCATGTGTTAATTTTTATGTTCTGATTTCTTACATCTATCTTTAATTCTAAATACATACGATGATTACGATCACATATTCGATCAAAAAATTACGATCATAAATATATAAAATCTACGATATGTTACAATTTCAACAGTATATATTAACATAAAATGTTTCAAATATTTCAATGGTATGCCTTGTTTGTCTCATTTTCTGATTGGCTTGTCTCATGAATACTTTCAAACTTAATAGGGGGGACTTTTTATTCATCATTTCAATTTTTTTGCTCCTAAGTGGAACATTATGGACTTGAGGAGTACTGCTTTTTATTTCGCTTTCAAAGTCACAATTAGGAAAAACAAACAACTCATTAGATTTTTCTCTCTTTATAATTTAGTCAACTTTCTTTCTTTATTTGTCAAAAAACTTAGTCATTTTCTTTGCACAAATTTTAATTACCTATTTTGTACGAGTACTTTATTATGCCACATGTATATCAAAACTTGTCTCAGCTATGAGGGAAGTTTGAAATATTTTTAAAACTTGTGTCAAACTCAAATGTGCGTACATTCTGGGACAGAGAATAGAAAAACGTCTTAATTGTTTTCCCTAATACATTTGACTTACTTGGGTACTCATATATTTATGGAAGATTGAGTTTTGATTTGATTTTCTAATTTCCTACTTAATATCAAATCAAAGTGCAAAATAATAAAGGTGATACTGACATCTTTAGATAAGAAAAAATCTATATAAAACTGAAAACTTTGTTTTAGAAAAAAAGTGGAAATTTGTTTTTGGAACAACCCTTTGTCTAAGAATCAAAAGACGAATTTTGAAGGAGTATAATGACAAACTGCTTTGAAACATGAAAATGAGGAGATAAACTTGTTAAACAATGCAGAAATAAAATGAGCAGAGGCAGAAACAGAATTAAAATGGAGCATTTTCTGCCCATCTTTGAGTCAATAAAACCAGAGAAAGGACTTACTGGTCAAGATTGATGAATTCTTGCTGCAGACTAGAAGAAGAAACGGCAGAGGTTGTCTCCGGATGTGCACTTGCTGAAGCTCCCGCCGCCGTCTCCTCTGCCGTGAACCACCCAACCATTTCATCTCCGTCGTGCAGGAGTTTAAGAACCAACGCCACATTCAGCGCAACCGAGACCGCCAGCAAATGCTTCAGAGAAACCGCCGGCAAGTACAGCACCTTGTCCTTCATTTTCAGGGAAGTTTTGGAATTTCCCATCCCAAGTGAGAGTTAGAGAAGAAATGTGAGTGGTTATAGCACTAATAAGCTTGGGTTGCTGCTACTTCGCCCCCTAACGTCTAGGTGAGTCCTATGAGGACTCTAGCTATGACTCACTACTAATATTGATCTCTTAAATCACTTTTAGTACGGAATATGCAGCACAGTTATTTTTGAGTCCGTCCCTTTGTATCCGAATCACGGATAGGGATTGGGTTGAGATTTATGAAGTTCTAAGTTCTAAGGATGTTTTCTTTTGGATTGAAATTTGCTGGTCTGTTTAAGTTTGGTCTGGTCTTATCTGGTAAACGTCTGGTCTCTGTTTATTTTATAACTAAGAAATTCAGGTCTGGTCTGGTCTGATCTGTTTAAGTCTGGTCAGGTCTGGTCTGATCTGTTTAAGTCTGGTCTGGTCTGGGACTGAAAACAGTCCAAAAGAAAACATCCTTATTGAGCTTGTTGGATTGACATATTTTGTTTTTTTATCGTCAAAACAGATAACTTAAATTGATATCACATCCTTCAGATATGGGGTAAAACGACAAAAGGGCCACAGGCAACCGCATGTCCTCGAACCAGACTTAGAGTCAATCACCTCCAAAAAAATAATATAACTCGTTGATCCTATAATGGGCATAAATGAGCCAATCACGGTTAAAGCAGACCTCCCATCACCCAATCCTAATACTAGGGATACACAACATTTGGCCGTCATATAGCCATATAGGTGTTGCGCTCTGCCGAAGAACAGAGTCTCACGAAAGGCAGACAAAAAGCCGCACAAGAAAGTTGCACTTCATTGAAGACGAAAGCGGAAAAAACAACTTCTAACCCTAAGGGAGACGTCGCCTAGAGAGAAAAGCTCTTTCCTAGAGAGAGAAATATGCAGTACTTTAAAAGGGGGGAGTTGATTGACATATTTTGTTGATTTATAAAAAAATATATTTAAAATATTTGTTGTTAATAAAATACGAAAAAAATTATATGATAAACTTCTAAAATGATCATCTACAAAAAATCAATCAATGGATCCAAAAAAAAAGTAATTTCAACCTTGTTTTTCTTATTACTCCGTATTAGGCAATTCTGTGCGCGAAATCAAAAGTTACGTGTAACCAAGCACTCCAGCTTAGCTGGTTGCGAGGTTACCGTGTTTAGCGAGAGGTCTCGTGTTCGAATCCCGCTAGGCACACAAGGGGGTGAAACTCAATGGAGTGAGTTTCAGCCCTGATTACTCCAGGCTCCCCCCAGCTCCCCTCCCCCAGCCCCCCCGGAGTAAAATAATAATAATAATAATAATAATAATAATAATAATAATAATAATAATAATAATAATAATAATAATAATAATAATAATAATAATAATAATAATAATAATAATAATAATAATAATAATAATAATAATAATAATAATAATAATAATAATAATAATAATAATAATAATAATAATAATAATAATAATAATAATAATAATAATAATAATAATAATAATAATAATAATAATAATAATAATAATAATAATAATAATAATAATAATAATAATAATAATAATAATAATAATAATAATAATAATAATAATAATAATAATAATAATAATAATAATAATAATAATAATAATAATAATAATAATAATAATAATAATAATAATAATAATAATAATAATAATAATAATAATAATAATAATAATAATAATAATAATAATAATAATAATAATAATAATAATAATAATAATAATAATAATAATAATAATAATAATAATAATAATAATAATAATAATAATAATAATAATAATAATAATAATAATAATAATAATAATAATAATTATAATAATAATAATAATAATAATAATAATAATAATAATAATAATAATAATAATAATAATAATAATAATAATAATAATAATAATAATAATAATAATAATAATAATAATAATAATAATAATAATAATAATAATAATAATAATAATAATAATAATAATAATAATAATAATAATCAAAAGTTACGTGTTTGGTGAAAAAGTTGTTTGATAAGACGAAAAACAAGATTATCAAACTGGCTCATTATGTATCTTGTTTGGTTTGACACAGTTATTTGTAAAATGATTGAATGGTAAAACTATAGTTAAAATTTGAATATAATAAAGTGAAATGTTGTAAATCGCATATCTCCTTCCAAAAAAGAAATGTAACACTTATTTTGGGACAATTAAAAAATAGGACAGAGAAAGTGGGACATGGGAATATTATTTTCTTCCCGTCGAACTTTGTCAACTTGTATGAAATAAAAAAAGTAAAATTTTATAGTTGAAATATGTGCTGAGAAGAAAAATAAACAAAACACAAAATCATTATCTTAAACGGAAAGTGTCAAAACTTTATGGACAAAAAAAAAATTGACAAAATCCAATAGGAGAGAGGGAACATTGCAATTTAGATGTACCGATGTTGATAACCAAGTAACATACAACAGATTGAGGCCGAGTTGCACTAAATGAGGTTTCATTAGGGAGAAGGATACACTCATTTAAAGAAGTATCAAATCATACCAGACTAAATTGAACTTCAATACTAATAACACACAAACCGAATTAGTTTTTACCCAATTAGACAATATTAGTTCACACAACCACTCCAAATTTAAATATCCCGATATGTCAGATTAGACCAACACAGTAGATTTAAATAAATGGTATTTTACCTTGAAATTTCAATTCAAAGTGAAAACAATGTATTTCTACAACGAATCAATGGTGGATCTTAGTAGAAATAATTACATTAATATGACCAAAATAAAGACGATTTACAAAAATATGATGAGTTACTAGAGTAGTAATCAAATCATAGTATTTCATGTTCAAGTTCTGAACTTAAGTTACTACAACACTACATTATAGTAATGAATAGTCATATTTATGTAAATAAGTTTTATTTTAGTAATATTGTTGTAAAAACCTCATCTTAGTAGAGGCCCAGGGATCATGCCCCACACACACACCCAATGTAAAAGAAAGTTTATGATCGAGCACCTATACATACTTTCAGTTGGTCGTGGTTAATATCAAAGAAATAAACGGTAACGCCCCTAATTTTATCTACTCTTTATGTGTTTAATTATTCAATATAGTCATGACATAAGTTATAATTTTGTGTATTATACATGTAACTTTAGGGATATCGTGTGATTATATACTTTGTGATATTTATGTTGAACTCACATGCTTATAACATGTTTGAACGTGACAGGCGACGATATACAATGAGCAACGAAACTACACCGAAATAATCATTTTTATTCCTGATGAAATGGTATATTAAGATTAGTTGTCATGTTAGATAGTATTCGGGTGTTGAAATGTAGTTTAAAATGTCATCGGGGGTCTAGGATGTGAATGACAACAATCAGGGTCGGTTTAGGGTGAATATGACGTTTTCGGCACCCGGTGGGCCCCAAACCGGCACCTGTTGGCCCCAGACCGGCGCCAGTCCAAAACAGAAGGTCTGGGACGGTGAAATGACAGCATAACTGGCGCCGGTCAGGGCCAAACTGGCGCCGATCCGGTCGGTTTTTGGCAGGTCAGTCAAATTTCATTTTTAAGCACAAAAACCCCCCTTTCAGCCCCAAAATCGACTCTTGCTCGCAAGGTATTCAAGTTTTATTTTGATTGTAGTTGGGTTCATATAGAACCAACCAAGAAAAGAAGTTGTGTTGATGATGAAATCTAATGAACGTAGGGCTGGGTCCGAAAAACCGAAAACCGAATCAAATTAAACCGAACCACGGCCAAATAAAACTGAACCGCTAAAAACTGAAACCGAATGTAAAAATTCGAACCGAACCGTAGTTGTTTGGTTCGGTTTTGGTTTTTACCCTTCAAAACCGAACCGAACCGAACTAATTAAAATATGAAATTTTATTTGTTAATTTTTAATCATTAATCCTAATATCATCAATAGTCTTTGATTTTTTTGTGCTACAGAAATAATGTTTATGTTATGTTTAGTTTATAAATGCATTTAGTCATTCATTTGCCCATAATAATGTAGCTATATTGATCGATTACGTCTTTTATGTATGTATGTATGTTGCAATTTGTTGCATGATTATTAATTTTAAAGGTTATTAGTAGTAATTAATTTATATTTTTATGTAACTTACATTTTTTACATTGATAAAACAAAAAAATATTCATCTAAGCTATATCACATATGATGTATGTATTCATGAACTTTTTTCAAACTAGTCACAACAATGTAAATTAAGAATATATACACTTATATCTCTCCTGCATACTCATATAATTCAAGACATATTTTTTTATTCTTATTTTTACTTCATTTATTCTAGTATGCTTGTATTTTTTTATGTAATATGTTCGATCCCTCCAACTATTATATCAATTTTAAATCAAATGACAAATTTTTGGTAAAAACCCGAAAGAACCGAAACCGAACCGAAACAAACCGAACCAAACAAACCGTGGTTCCGAGTTTTGGAGTGTAAAACCGAACCGAACTTTTACTTTGGTTCCGTATTTGGTTTTAGGTAAAAACCGAACCAAAAGAACCGAACCCACCCCTAAATGAATGATAAGAAATGTTGTAAGGTAGCCATGTCCCCAAGTAATTACCTAAGCTGAGCGTAGCGGGGCATCCTTCCGCGGGGAGTCCCGGGATTACTTCTGATGGTTAAGGGCTAGCTACCCGAGGTCATCGGTGAGGGGCCAGGACACGAGCTACGGGCCCATAAACTCAAGGATAGAAATGAGAAGAAAGAATGATGAATGAGGAAACTTTGTAGGTTTCGTTATTTGAAGTTGTGCTTTACATGATAAGAGTTTTGTATATGAATCTGCTATGTGTATAGAGTATTCTAGCTTATGTATCTATTTATGACTAGCTAAAACTCCGCTATTTTAGTGGGAGTAATAGTGACTTACTAAGCAGATTTTGCTTACGAGAATTCTGTTCTCTCGTGTTCTCATGTATAGGTAATAAATGAAGAATGGAAGCCTGAGAGAATGTTCGGGGCGGGTGGCGAGGCTGTGGATGGGTTAATGGAGAAGACTTGGTTGTGTCTCGTGTTTGCTTTTGTACTATGACACTTTTATGAGTTGTTTGA